AAGGGATACTATTTTTAGAATTAAAATAATGATGCGTAAGACAAAATCCAAATTGGAATTCTTTAAAAGTTTTTATAGTTAAAATATGTGAAGTGGCATGTGTGTTATTCAGCAAGATCCAACAGGATTAGAAATATAAAAGTACAACCTACTCGTAATTTAGCTCCATTTCTTTGTTTAATATGTATTTAATTTAAAAAGATAGCTAATTTAATCTTAATTAAATTCTTGAAACAAGAATAATTTTGAACAAAAAGTTCTTGCATTTTTCGAGTGGTTAATTTATTACCTTCTCAATAAAGATTTAATTTGGAATTTAAGATCTTTAAGATTAAATATGATTACTTCTGAAACTAAGAAATGCATCACTATCAGATTATGAACTAAAATAGAATTCTAATTAGATATGTTAATCAAAAGAAATCTATTTTTAAATCAATAGACTTTTGATGATAAGACGAAATCTAAATTAGAATTCTTCGAAAGTTTCAAAAGTTTTTATAGTTAAACTATAAAATATAGTACTTTCTATTTTCCTCTCCAAATATTTTAAAATAAACTAGTGGATTAACACGTGTGATATTTAGCAAAAATACTGATTAGAAATATAAATTACAACTTCCTACACGTAATTTAACTTCATTTCTTTGTTTAATATGTGCTTAATTTAAAAAAAATGATCTTTTAACTAAATTCTTGAAACAAGAACAATTTTGAATAAAAAGTTTTTGCGCTTTCCGAGTGGTTGATTTTAAATAATTCCAAATAAGAAATGGTCCTAACAAAATTTTTTTATCATATTAGATTAATTTAATCATTTTATTAATCTAACTTTAAAAATAGCATGTGGCCAAAAAAACATATTTAGCCTTAATAGTGACATGTAAAGCACCAAAACCTTCGTGTATAGAATTCCAAATTAATCTAATTGGTATTCGATAAATTAACCACTCAAAAATTGCAAGAATACTTTGTTCAAAATTAGTTTGTTTTAAGTTATGTGAAAAGTCTATGCCGCTTTTAAGTTAAATAAGAATATAAAACAAAGAAATGAGTGAAGGATTGGATCGGTTAGTAATGGCACAAAATAGAATAAGATATTTAATAAGATATTTAATGACACGTACCGCATAATTGATTCAGGTTTATATAGTGAATGTTATAATTTATTTTCAAATCTGGTTATACGATTTATTACTGAATAATTAATTAAAACAATAAAAATTATTTTTGATTAATTTCAAATAAAAAACAATTCAGGTTTATACTAAAATTATTTATTTTCAAATCTAATTATATGATTTAATATCTTATATTGAATAATTAATGAAACCCAATGAAAATTAGTTTTTACATATTTTAAATACTTTTTTACATTTATAAGAATCTTACATTTTTCATCCAGAATTATATGTTGGAGTTATATATAATTTTGCCTTAACCACGATGCATTCCAGTCATTCCGACCCGGAAATTTAGGAGAATAGGTTATTACCCTCAAAAATTTAGAAATTGAATTGAAAGGATTGATAAATCAAAACTTAAGGCTTGAAAATAGAAACAAATTTTTAGAAACTGAAAATGAATTTTTAGAAACTGAAAATAAAAGACTATTACATGAAAATGACGATTTATAAATTGAAAAAGAACAATATAAAGCAGCTATAATACATTCAGTTGAAGTAGCCACTAGAAATAAAAAAGCATATGAGAATGAAATTCATAATTATAAAGAAGTGATCAAAGATATTTATGATCAAATTGATAGCTTTGGTAATTTGTTTATTAAATTATTTTAACTTTTTTTTTAAAACTAATCTGGTTTCTTTTTAAAGATGTTAATAAATTAAACAGTATATTATACAAAAACGAAATTCCTGACTTTCAAAATTTCTTAGTAATAAATAATGAATTGCATGCAAATAAAATTTGTTATTCAAATTTTGAAGAAGCAATTAATCACTCTAAACAAAGAATACATAAAATTGATGATACCAGAAATATCATTGACACAGGACCTTCACTACCTTGCTCATATTCATTTTACGATCTATTAAATTCAGACAATTTTGATTTAGGAACGTACAATCAAGAATCAACTTCAGATAGTAATATGGTTGTCGAAGAATCTTCGGATAAAAATTTATAAGAAATACTATTAGAATGAAATTTCTTCATTTTAGATTGTAAAAAATAAAATTTAACTATCCTAAA